TACTCAGCCATAAAAAAAATGAAATTATGTCATTTGATGGCAAATGAATGAAATGGAGAACATCATGCAAAGTGAAATAATCAGGCTCAGAAAGTCAGAGGTCAAATGTTTTCTCTCAAATACAGAAATTAGAGATAAAAAGGGAATAAAAATGTGATCTCATTAAAATAGAAGGGAGACAAGAAGAGGATAGGCAGGGGAAAAGGGGAAAATTGGAGATGATGTTGGTCAAATTATGCTATGTATGTGAATTAATATATTGCAATTAATTCCATTCACATATAATTACAATTCATGATTAAAAAACAATAAATAAGCACAAAGACCAATGAAGTAGAGGTATGGGATCAAGGGGAGGGAGGAGGGGAGGAAAAGGAGAAGCACTAGGGATTGAAATGAATCTAGTTAAGTTATATGCATTAATGAATGCCAACATGAATGTCACTATGATGTAAAGCTGTAGTGCATTAATAAGAACATTTTTCTTCAAAAGCAGAGAAGTGATGCTCTGTCCTTGGGAGTATATCACATCAGGACTTGCACTGTGCTAATGTGTCCCCCTACTTGCCATGTTAACTTTAATTGATTTCTGCTATGGTATCTGTCATTGCTTTCATATAAAATTAATATTTTTCTCTTTGTGATTTGAAACTATTTGGACATCTAATGGCCTTTACATAACCTGGTCCAATTTTCCATCCCGTGGTTTTATAGCGGATTGATGGTCCTTGAATTATGATGATACTGGTGATGTTCCATCATTCCTTGACAGGGTGCTAGTCCTCTGTTAGGAAGGGCTTGTTTCTGGACCTCCTATTTAGTATTTTTTATCCATTTCAAATTTATAGCAGCATCACTCCTGGATCCCTATTGTTGTAAACTGTTTATAATCTACTACTGTAACTGATTTCAAGGGTTACACTGTCCCAAATCAGGTCAGAGGGAGCCTTCCCAAGATCCTTTGACAAAAGCAGTTGATGGGACACAGTGCAATTTTTTGAGCAATTTTTTTTTTATATAGAAGGACGATCTAGGCTTATCCTCTATCTTCTCTGTCCCATCTCTGAAATCAGCCATTTTCCCAAGGAGTGGTGGTTTCTTTTCATGGAGAAGCATAGAAATGACATTCAGAAGTCAAGATATTAAGTCACATGCTTATATCTCTTTGCTACTAAGGTGCCATGACTTCAAGGCCCTCTCAGTAGTCAGCTGCAGGAACAGGTGTATGGGCACATGCACTACAGCACACACACACACAAACACATCTTTTTGTGTATTTCATATTATCTACT